CCACATATTTTTATGCTATTGCTTTTCAAATAAATAAAGAGAAGAAAGGAGAAAAACATGCACTTAGACTGTGTTAGAATTGCATGATTGCTTTTGCTGGTATGTGTGTGTTTGAATCTGGTCTGGAGTCTAACAGACTTAGTGTTTCTCATAAGGCGGATCTGCCAGCAACAAGTGCCCTCAGTGTTTATTTACCTGCCAGTATCTTTTTGTGTGAGAGAGCAAAACATTTCTTTCTTTTTTAAAAAAATATTTACTTATTTATTTAAGAGGCAGAGTTACAGAGGGAGAGAGAGATCTTCCATCTGCAGGTTCCCTCCCCAAATGGTCACAACGGCTGGAGCTGGGCCCATCTGAAGCCAGCAGCCAGGTCTCCCACATGGTTGCAGGGGCCCCAGGGTTTGGGCCATCTTCACTGCATTCCCAGGCCATAGCAGAGAGCTGGATCGGAAGTGGAGCAGCTTGAACTGGCGCCTATATGGGATACTGGCCCTGCAGAAGGTGGCATAATGCACTATACCACAGCACCAGCCCCAAGAAACATTCTTTCAAAAAAACTACCAAGGGCCTGTCATTTGACCTAGGGGTTAATTTGCTAGTTGGGCAGTCTACATCCCATATCTGGGGTCCTTGGGTTCAAGCCCTGACTCTGGCTCCTGACTCCAGCTCCTTGCTAATGTAGACTCTGGGAGGTTGATGACTCAAGTGGTTAGGTCCCTTACGTCCAAAATGGGAGACCTAGATTGAGTTCCTAGCTCCTGGGAATTTGGAGAGTGAACCAGCAAATGGTCACTCTCTCTGTCTCTGTGCTCCTCAAATGATTACAATAAAGAAAAATAAAATCTACTAAATCTGTGGAAGCAATCTGTGGCATTCGAGCTGTGACTTGCTCCCTCCAGCCCACCCTAGATCTATCTGATGGAAACTGCTCAAGTTCTCTACTCTGGATGGGGGTGGTTGAGAAGGGGAATCCTTATCCTTGCAGTTTCCAGTGTAAGGTGGTGGTTTCTCCCTGGGAGGGTTAGGCCAACTGCATCTCTCAACTTCCCCCATGATGTTATGCAAAATCTCTCTTCCTAGTGGAGGTGAATGAGACAATTGTGATTTCCATCTTCTATCTAGTACCATCCCTCACCTAGCCCTATTCCTAGGTTACAATTTCAGCTCTAGGTGCATCAGGCCAAGAATACTGGGCTCCAGTTGCCCCTTCTCCAACTTACAGAATGGAGGTCCCATACCAGAATAGACAAGCTGAAAAGCTCAGGGGCTTCACCACCTCCTTCCCCTCTCCTCCATTCCTCTCCCCTTCCCTCCCCTCCCTTCCCCTCCTCTCCTCTCCTCTTCTTCTCTCTCCCTGCACCTCTCCCCTCTCCCCTCCCCTCTCTCCTCTCCCCTCTCTCCTCTCTCCTCTCTCCTCTGTAGAGTCTGCCTATAGAGCAAGGTGTGTCACTCCAGGAGAAATGGGCTGCTGTCTTTCCAGGAGGAAAGGCAGGATGTGAACCTCCCTAGCTCTGTTTAAGGGACTGATATTTGGAGCAGAGCATGAAGAGTTTCATGCTAATGGTGTTGTCTGAAATAGTGGAAGTCTTAGTGGAGAACAGTTAAGGGAGTGCTCATAGCTTTGTGACACTAGAGGTACCCAGCAAAATGGCAGAGCAATCAAATATTTAACAGAGAGAATGAGGGAAAAAGACAGCCAGGAAGAGCCCTCCTTGGATCACACCCATCCCAGTGTGGTCTAGAATGTTGTGTATAAGCACCAAGTGGTACTCACTCAAGAACCACCAGAGCAGGATACCGGGGAGATTTTAAATCATACCTCAACTTGCACACAGATCCACCAACCAACAGCTGAATCCTTACTGGCACCAGGGCCTTAAGCCCAATCTCTGAAAAAACACCATTGGAACAATGAGCTATTCTGCTCCAGGGGCTGCTCTTAGGATGCTAGGCTTACAAGTAAAACAGAGGCACATACCATGGAATAATGTTTCCATCACTATTTCTCCAGAATATGTTTCCCAAGTCTCTATACTCATGCCCCATCTCCACTTCCTCATTCTCTTTTCCTTTGGACTCCAACTATAATAATGTACTGCTTAACAATGGGACAAGTTCTGGAAAATGCATTGCCAAGCGCTTTTTTTGCAAGTATTGTAGTGTACTTACCAGCAACTAGGATGGCTATGACATCATTAGGTAATATAACCTTGTGGGACTACTGTTGTATATTTGGTCTGTTGTTGACTGAAATGTCATTATGGGACATTATACAAGAGAAATGAAGACATATGCCAATACAAAATGTATACAAGGATGTTCATAGCAGTGTTATTCAGAACAGCTGAAAGTGGGAACATTCTCAGTGTCAATCAGCTGGCCAATGGATAAACAATATGTGGCATATTCATACAGTGGAATATTCCTTGACAATTAAAAAGGGTTGAAGTATTGACATGCTTTCATGTTGATGAACCTTGAGAATGTTACACTCAGTGAAGGAAGGTAGTCACAAAATCCCAAATATTGTGTGTTTCTATTTGTATGAAAAGCCCATAATAGGAAATTCTATAGAAGCATAAATTAGATTAGTGGATGCCTATGGCTGAGGGGGCAAATGTGTAATGAGTTCAGGAGAAATGGCATGAGACTGGTAATGGATATGGGGTTTCATTTTATGTGATGTAAATGTCATAAAAATCAGAGTGGTAATTGTTACTCTGTCACTTTTACAAAAAACCATTGCATTATAGATTGAACATTTCTTTAGTTTACTTACTTGAGAGGGAGAGAGAGCACATGCACATCCATTGGTTCACTCCTTTAATGCCCAGAATGACTGGGGCTGGATCAGAGCTAAATTCAGGAGCCTGGGAACTCAATCTCGACCTCCCACTGGGTGGCAGGAACCCAATTACCACTGCCTCCCAAGATCTGCATTGGCAGGAAACTGGAATCAGGAGCCAGAGCTGGGAAGTGAACTCAAGCACTCTAGTGTGGGGTGCAGGTGTCCTGATGGGTGTCTTAACCAGTAGGCCAAATACCACCCTGTATTCATTTTTTAAATTGGTGAATTTTGTTGTATGTGAGTTACATCTCAATAAAGATGTTTAAAAAGTAGAGAGCTCAGGGCTGGTGTTGTGGTGCAGCTGGTTAAGCCACTGCCTACAACGCTGGCATCCCAGATGGGTGCTGGTTTGTGTCCCAGCTGCTCCACTTCCAATCTAGCTCCGTGCTAATGTGCCTGGGAAAGCAGTGGAAGATGGCCCAAGTCTTTGGGCTCCAGAACCCACCTGGGAGACCCAGATGAAGCTCCTGACTCTTGGCTTTGGCCTGGCTCTGTCCTGGCTGTTGCAGCTATTTGGGGAGTGAACCAGCAGATGGAAAATCTCTCTCTCTCTCTCTCTCTCTTTCACTCTGCCTTTCAAATAAATCTTAGGAAGAAAAGTAGAGAAATATTGTCCAATGAGTATAAAGTTACAGTTAGTTATCCAAGATGAATAAGTTCTAGATATCTGCTATACTACTACGTAGTACCTATAGTTAACATTAAAGTGTTTACATGGAAATCTTTGCTAAAATAGCGTCCATGTTGTGTCCTTAACACACACACACATATGCACACATACACAGAGCAAAGGGTCACAAGGAAACTTTTGGAATTGGTAGACATGCTTCTTTCCTTGATGATGGCAGTTGTATCCTGGTATATGTGTATGTCCAAACTCATCAAATTGTATATATTAAATATATACTTTTTATATACTGATTATATTTCAATAAAGCTACAACCATAAGGATAAACCAGCACCTAGAATATGGTAAATATTTAAATGTAGGTTATGACTTAAAAAAAAATTCTCTGGACAGGTTGCCTACTTTTTACAGTGGGGAAGCAAAGTGTTGTGCCAGAGGGGACTGAAGATCTGAGAACACGGGAAAAGGGTAGTGACAATGACAAAGGCTGCTGCCACAGAAGCTGATTTGGGGATGCAAGAGGAAGGGGAATTCCTTTGAGGGAATGTTGAATGCTCAAGTGGAAATGTCTACTGAAGACTAATAAAAAAGGAGGTGGACTTTGTCCTCATAGCAGAAGAACTTTGTTGATTTTAAACTGTTTTAACTCATTTATTTGAGAGGAAGAGGGATAGACAGAGAGCTCTCATTTACTGGTTCACTTTCTTTTTTCTTTCTTTCTTTTTTTTTTTTTTTTTTTTTTTTTTTTTTTTTTTTTTGACAGGCAGAGTGGACAGTGAGAGAGAGAGACAGAGAGAAAGGTCTTCCTTTGCCGTTGGTTCACCCTCCAATGGCCACCACAGCCAGCGCGCTGCGGCCGGCGCACTGCGCCTATCCAATGGCAGGAGCCAGGTGCTTCTCCTGGTCTCCCATGGGGTGCAGGGCCCAAGCACTTGGGCCATCCTCCACTGCACTCCCTGGCCACAGCAGAGAGCTGGCCTGGAAGAGGGGCAACTGGGACAGAATCTGGTGCCCCGCCCGGGACTAGAACCCAGTGTGCTGGCGCCGCAAGGCGGAGGATTAGCCTAATGAGCCACGGCGCCGGCCACTGGTTCACTTTCAAACACTTGCCATACCTGGGGCTGAGCCATGGATGAAGCTGGAAGCCTGAAACTCAATCCAAGTCTCCATATAGTCATCCATATAGGATGGCAGATGCTCAGCCACTTGAGCCATCACCACTGTCTCCCAGAGTCTGCATTATGGGAAGCCGAAGTCAGGAGCTGGAGGCAGGCATTAAACTCAGGTTTTCCAGCATGAGATGTGGGCATCTTGACCACTAGGTCACATGTTTCCAACCCTGACAGTAAACAGATATAAAATCTCCTTGGTACTGTTATAAGCAGCTGAGAGTTTCCTTCCCTAGTGCGTTTGAGAGCTTGGTGAGTTGATTGTTATAATATCACGAGTAGTGGAGGGGAAGAGTGGAAAGCAATGTTGAGGTTGTGATAAAAATAATATGGTTGCAAAATGGTCTCTTACAGGTGTCTTCAGAAGACATATCCTTCACCACTCCCATCCCTCAGTGTTGTTCTCATATTCGTGAATGAAGCGCTGTCTATTATACAACGGGCCATCACCAGTATCATCAACCGGACCCCCTCTCAACTGTTGAAGGAGATCATCTTGGTGGATGATTTTAGCTCAAACAGTGTGTATCTTGATCAAAGAATCCTTGTAAAAATGGCCACCTGTCATTCTACTTTGCTGGAAAGGGGCCAATGCTTACATCTCAGGACACCTTGAATTTATGGTAGAGGGAAAAGAAAAGGGTGTATTGAGGGCTGATTTGTGCTGAGTACATTTAATCTTCACAGAGTCAAGTCAGAGGGTCATTGCCTCAATTACAGAAAAGGCACGTGGGACACAGAGTGATTACATGGTGTGCCCAGATTGCACGGCAAATCCAGGTGGGGCTGTGTGACTCCCAAGTCACCTGTGTTCTTGCCATGCATCACTATGGAGATCAGAGAGGAAGAGGTGGGAGGGGGCCACAGGAGGACCTCAGACATCAAGAAGGGGTTCAGAGTAACTTCTGATGACAAAAAGACCAATCCTTCCTTGAAAAATTTAGCCTGGAGAAAAAGAGAGCTTAAGGTGCTGAGACCTCTCACAGCGGCAATGTCTCTTGCTCTGTGTCCCATTCCTGGTCTATCCCTCCTTAGGAAGACACAGGCACAAGTCGGGAACAGTGTACCTGAACCCTCACTCTGTGAGTCCAGAGCCCCAGCTTTTTCCTAAAGCTCTATGTGCTTGGGTACCTTAATTTCTCCCTACCCTGGTTTCCTCCTATGCAAAACATGGATGGTGACCACCATCGTTATCTCATCAACTGGGGTGAGACGTAAGTGAGGTAGTAATAGCAGTTGACATAATTTGTTCTAAGCGTCTTCCATGTATTAACTATTTTAATCATTACAACAACCCTGTGAGGAAGGAGCCCCTTTGTACGCATTACACAAATGCAAAAAGCTAAGGCTCAAATCAGTCAAGGAACTTGCCCAACATCACACAGCTGGTAAGGGACATAACTGATATCTGATGGTAAACTTCAGAGTCCTGAGCCCAAGTTCTAACCACTATGGTTACTATATTATACATGGATTATGGGTAGCACTTAGCACATGGTAACTTCTTAGCAAGTGTAGCTCTTCATTTTATTAACTTTTGGCACCAAATAAAATAAATTAGAACTAAGTTACAAAACCAGAGGTTTGGGCTAGCAATAAGGAAGAACTTTCTGTGTGTGGGGGCTGAGAAGTCATGGCCCAGTGGAGGGGACAGTCTGTTCCTTCTCTTGGGATCTTCAAGTACCAGATAAGTCATTGTCGCTTCCAGCTCTCTCTCAGGGGAGAAACACACGCAAAATGACCACGTGAGCTTTCCTTCTCGGATTTCCAGACCCTAAAAAACACCTCTTTTTATCCTTTACATATCTTCATCTCTCATCCACTCACTGTAACCAAGTACAATAAGAAGGCGCAATTCCTAGAGCAAAATCCCACTGAACGCCAGAAAACAGAGAATGGCTGGTTTCATTCGTTTCTGGTCATGGAGACTGATACCAAGTTCTACCTGGTTTTGCTAGAAAGAAGCCGGAACTTGCTGGCGCTGTGGCTCAATAGGCTAATCCTCCACCTGTGGTGCCGGCACATCGAGTTCTAGTCCCGGTTGGGGTGCTGGATTCTGTCCTGGTTGCCCCTCTTCCAGGCCAGCTCTCTGCTGTGGCCCGGGAGTGCAGTGGAGGATGGCCCAAGTGCTTGGGCCCTGCACCCCATGGGAGACCAGGAGAAACACCTGGCTCCTGCCATCGGATCAGTGCGGTGCGCCGGTTGCAGCACGCCAGCCGCAGCGGCCATTGGAGAGTGAACCAACGGCAAAGGAAGACCTTTCTCTCTGTTTCTCTCTCTCACTGTCCACTCTGCCTGTCAAAAAATAAAAAATAAATAAAAAAAAGAAAGAAGCAGGAACTTGATTAGATAGATCTCCGCCCTGAACACCTGAGCCCTGTGGTTTCCCTCTCTGTCACCCTGAGATGACCTTAGGCAAGTCCTCTCACCTCCCTAGGATTCAGCTTTTGCACCAGGCAAAGGCAAGCACTGAGATGGAAGACTGCTCAAGAGATCTTTGTCCAGGAAAAAAAAAATCAATAGTTCTGTATCTCTTATTCATGAAGGGGAGATCAGACTTAATTAAAGACTTTTTTCCCCCTGTGAAACAATAACATCAAAAAATACAAGAAAAGAAGACATAGGCCAGGCATGAAAAGAAGCCGACCAAAGCTCCCGGTTGTTCTAAAGCACAAAGGCAAAGACATGAAAATGGAGAGAAGAGAGGAAGAAGAGTCTTCGTAAAAAAAACAATCTGAGAATGGGGCATCTTATTTATGTAATTTTTTTAAAGATTTATTTATTTGTTTAAGAGGCAGAGAGAGAGAGAGAGAGAGAGAGAGAGAGAGAGAGGTGACACATTCCTAACAGTTGGGTCTAGAGCCCATTTTTGTTTCCCATAGAGATGATCGGGACTTGTCAGTATTCCCTGGGTGGTGTCACCGGGACAGGAGTTAGCTCCTAGCTCATGCACTGTGGAAACACCGGCCAGACTGAGCCCACAATGGGCATAGCCCACATACGTGCTCTATGCTAAACTGAAGAGAGTAACTGGAGGTCTCTACACCATACATATATGTCCATGTGGTCCTGGGGGCAAGTCACTCAACTATACTGTACCTCAGTTTCCTCATCTCTGATGTGTGGGGAATAATGGTGCCTTTCTTATAGGGTCATTCTGGGGATTCAGTGGCACACATGAAATCCTCAGGTTAGGGCTGGGTCCCGCCAGATACAAGCTCATGGACTGATGTCAGTTCTTGCTTGCCTCTGTGTCATTTGTAGTAATGTGCAGATGCAAGAACCTGTTATTAGGGGTCTGCCCCCTTCTTTTCCAAGATGTTTTATTTAACTCATTCAAAGGTTTAAACATCAACATAACTATAAATCTAACATTTTTAAGAAATTATATCAATATAGGTAGGATCCTGTATTTCTCCCCAATTTCAGGCACATTGCACAATCAAGCAATTATTTCCTGAGTTTTTGTCTTATGCACTGTACTGGAAAGAGGATGTCAGAGATTTTAAGAAGTCCTCTTTTTTATTGGTGAGGCAAGATGCCCCTATGGAAAAAGACCTCAGCATGGGAAGAATGGTATGGTAAATTGAGGGAGATGTCAGTGAGTGCAAGAATGCTCAGATGGGGCTGGGAAGATCCAGGGAGGACTTGGGGGCTTGGTAGGTTTTGAAAAGGCAGAGGAAACAATGGAAGGCTTGACAACTGGAGTGGAGAAAAGAATGAGGTAAGCAAAGAAGCAGAAGCCAGAGCACTGTGAGCTGCTCAGCTTGGAATAAGGATTTGGGGAGGGGACTAGGAGAGCAAGACTGAGAAGGGAGTGTTGGTTTACCTTGGAGGATCTGTTGAGGCATCTTTCAGTCTTGTGCCAGATTATAGGCATTATTTCTGAGGGGGGAGGAGGATAGGACTCAGACTCTACAACTCATGGAATTTTGGAGTTGGAATAGTCCTGATAGATTATTGGGTACTTCTCTCTAAACTGAGGCAACAGACGTCCCCAAATGGGAGGTGACGCCATATTAGGTAATGACCTAATAATAGTCTATATATCCAAGTCAATGGCACCCCCTGCTGACTACTTCCTAAAAGCAGTGCTTGGGTGTGTGTAGGGACTGGCCATCTTGGCTCCTCCCAGCTCACTCTCAGTAGAGGCAATCAACCCTATATCCATTGGCTCTTTTTAGCACCCTCAGAAATTGAGTCAATCATTCTCGAGTGCAGTTGGGAGAGTTTTAAAATGGGACAAATTTTAGTGTTAAAGTCAGGTAGACATTGATTCCAGCCCTGACCATGCTGTGTCTCATGAATATACTATCTGGGGGCTGGTGCTGTGGTGCAGTGGAATGCCTGGCCTGAAGCGCCGGCATCCCGTATGGGTGCCACTTCGAGTCCCAGCTGTTCTACTTCTGATCTAGCTCTCTGCTATGGCCTGGGAAAGCAGTAGAAGATGGCCCAAATTCTTGGGCCCCTGCACCCACATGTGAGACCCGGAAGAAGCTCCTGGCTCCTGGCTCCTGGCTCCGGATGGGCTCAGCTCCAGACGTTGCGGCCATCTGGGGAGTGAACTATTGGATGGAAGACCTCTCTAGCTCTCTCTCTCTCTGCCTCTCTCTGTAACTCTGTCTTTAAAAAAAATATGCTATCTGGAGAGGAACCAGAAAACATCTCACCCCTTGGCTGGGGGTTGGGGGAGAGGAGTTGGAGGGAGGGCTGGATAAACCCAACCAGGCATACACATAGTTCTTGAGGCAGTGTAACATGTAGTTAGACAGCATGGATTCACATCTAGGGCATACCACTTACTGGGTGTGTGACTTGCAAAAGTTCCTTATATATTCTGTGCCTCAGTTTCTTTTTCTGTAAATTGGGGATACTGTAGCACCTGCCTCATAGGATATGTTGAACATTAAATGAATTAATACTGTCAGTGAATGACTCATAGTTGTTTGGTCAGGTACTTTGCACACTGCCTGGTGATTTGCATGCAAGTTGTTTTCATACATGTAAGAAAATCAACTGGTAGGTTGAGTCAAAGCACAAAGGCAAAGACATAAAAAGGGAGAGAAGAGAGGAAGAAGAGGCTTTGTAAAAAACAATCTGAGAATGGGACATCTTATTTATGTAATTTTTAAAAAAGACTTATTTATTTAAGAGGCAGAGGCAGAGAAAGAGAGAGAGAGAGAGAGAAAGAGATCTTGCATCCACTGGTCCACTCCCCAAATGGCCACAACAGCCAAAGCCAGGAGCCAGGAGCTTTTCTGTGTCTCTCACACAAATGTAGGGGCCTGAGGACTTGCGTCATCTTCTACTGCTTTCCCAGGCCATAGCAGAGAGCTAGATTGGAAGTGGAGCAACCTGGACTCAAACTGGCGCCCATATGGGACACCGGCACTGCAAGTGGTGGCTTTACCAGGTACACCACAGTGCTGACACCATTTATGTAATTTTTAGAGTAGAGTACCTACTGAAAAGAAGTCAAACTAGTCTGTGTTTTCTGTCCCAGTTGGTCTTGGAGTAAGTGAACTAGGAATATCTAAAATAACTACTTTCAACTGTTTATGGGTTCTCTGCAAAGTCTTGAGAGTTGTCCCAGGCTGGCTCTGTCGTGTTGTTCACCAGCAGTTGCCAGAATTTCTCACTATATAAATGCACTGTAACAGTGACTAGCACCTTCTGATATATATGGATGCTCTATGATAGTTTCACTGTGAGAAAAAGGAAACTAGGAATGGTCATGTTAAACCTCAGGGTAGAAAGAGGAGGAGAAGTAGTTGCAGGTGAAATGCTACCTATTTTTTCAGCCACGACTGTAGAATTGCTCACCCTAAAATGGAAGTAATATAACCATTATTATAGAATGATATGAAATTTCTGTATCACACTGATTATTGCACTCAGAATTTCCATAGGTATATATTTGGTTGGCAGGAGAATTAAAGGAATATTTGGATGAGAGGATCAAGCTTTACAATCAAAAATACCCAGGACTGCTGAAAATAATTCGCCATACCAAGAGAAAGGGTCTTTCTCAAGCACGCAACACCGGCTGGGAAGCTGCCACGGCTGATGTGGTCGCCATCTTGGATGCTCATGTTGAAGTCAATGTCGGATGGTGAGGTTCCAGGAGTTTTCTTCTTCTGGGAGAGGGAAGAATGGAGATCCTGTAAAATACTTCATATTATACAGTACAGTGTGGAAACAGGCAAGGTCAGCACCTTAACCAAAGGGGAGATCCAAAGGCAAGATGCTTTGACTCAGGTGCTTTGCCTTGCTAAGAGAAGTGGCATAGTGTTAGAGAAAAAACAATTGACTGGGAATATGGATTACTGGATCCTGATCCCAACTGTGCTAAGTATTTTGTGATTTTGAATAAGTCACATCACTTAACTAAGTATCAGTGTCTTCATCTGTGAAGTGAAGACATCCCTCATTGGGGAAGCCCAAGGTTGTGCCCAGCCTTGAAACTGCATGATACAAAGAGAGCTGTGTTCTATGGAGAAGGTAGAGCATCACAGCCAGCCCTGAGAGATAATGTAAATTTAGGCAGAAAAATGAAAATCTTTGCTCACAGTGGCCTAGACGTGGTGCCTAGGAACTAATTTCAAATGTTTTCGTGACACAGGCCAGTTGCTAATATCCCCATTTATGCCCAAAGGTGCAGAGAGTCTGAATTTTGGAGAGTTCTACTCTCCAACCAGAGCATTAGGACTGGAGAAGGCACCCAAGGTCAGGGCAAGATGCTTGGAGCAGCTTTATCTGCTCATGCCTGCTTCCCACCCTCTTACCCACGTGGAGCTTGCCACACCCTCTTCTTCTAGGGCAGAGCCCATCTTGGCTCGGATTCAGGAAGATCGCACGGTGATCATTTCTCCTGTGTTTGACAACATTCGCTTTGACACCTTCGTGCTGGAGAAGTATGGCTTGGCCGTGGATGGGTTCAACTGGGAGCTGTGGTGCCGCTACGATGCACTGCCACAAGCCTGGCTTGATCTCCATGACACCACTGCTCCAGTGAAGTACGTCTCGGGAGATTCAGGGAACTTGGTTAGCACACGGGAAGTAGGAATGAGCTGTGTGGGTTTTGTTTCTCTTTGGTGGTAGTAATAGGAGTGGGGTGGAAAGGAGTGGAGGAGATGGGGTCAGGGACAAGTAATAGGGGGAAAAATCCAATAAGCTGATCCCAGATAAGAATTCATAACTACTTTGGGCTCTTCAGGGCCGTTAGGTAAAAATCAAGCAAAGTATTTAGCATTTTAGAAAATATTCTGGCCATTTCTAGTAAGATCAGGCAATGAAGTAGGGACACCAAGATGAAAAGATGTCATTTGAATATAACTTAAGAGAAATTATGGCAGCTCAGTGAGCAAGGGAAAGCCACATGCACTTAGCCCCGGTTGTGTTCAGGGAAGAGCCTCAGGATAAGAACAGCCTTTACATAGAGTTTAGAGGCCAGACCATCGTTGGGTTTCCCACCCCTCCTCTCCATGCTGACCTGCTCCTCTCTTGCTCTGAGCTGCATAGGAGTCCTTCCATCATGGGCATCCTGGCTGCCAACAGGCTCTTCCTGGGAGAAATTGGAGCCCTGGATGGTGGGATGCTGGTCTATGGAGGAGAAAATGTGGAACTTAGCCTGAGGGTGCGTACATTTCCCTTTTCTTTAGGGGACAACGGGGTAGGGGAAATAATGGAGGGATAGAAGTATCTCTGGAACTGTAGAACCTGGGTGAATGTCATTAGCTCAAGAGGAGGGCAAATTCCCCTGTTTACAGGGCACTAGGCCAAGAAGGGGAAGCTAGAGTGCAGCTTCCTGGCATCAGCTTGCATCTGGAGGCTATGGGCTAAGCAGGTGTTGTCCTTATTTCACATGAGGAATCCAGGCATTTTCTAAGCATCTCCTGCAGTAAAGCAACTTTGAGGAAGACAGCATTCCATAATATTGGTCAAAGCAGAGAAAACTGGAGTGGGCAGAGGGACTAGGGGATGCAGATGTGTGGGCAGTCAGTGTAATTCCACATGGACAACTGGAGTATCTGGCATGATGACATGACTTTGGGTTGGGATATAGTCTCACCTTGGACAAATTGACAGGGCTGGGTAGTACAGTATTGAAACCCTCAACCCAGTTCTAGTTCTGATCAACTTAGTGTAGAATGATCCTGGCTTCACACTTCAACATTGATGTCTCTTGTCATCAAAGTCTCTTGTCCACCCCTGACAGCTTCCCATGCTTGTTTAGGTCAAGTGAACCACTAGGGAATTCAAGGCACAATATAAGACAAGTGGAGAAATTCCAAGCACAGATTCATATTCCATCAGTGCATCAGTTAGTTCTGACCAAAACTCAAAGTGCTGTGTGACAAACCACCTCAAACTCAGTGGCGTAAAGCAACAATAATTGATGCTCACGACTCTGTAGGTCCAGCTGGGCTTGAATGGATGGCTCTGATCCACACAGTTCATTCTAGGGTTCAGGCCAATGGCACCGCATCTGCCTGGGGAAAGAGTACTCTTCTTGGGTTGCATTAAAGGTCAAGGGGAACCAGGTGAGATTTCTTAATGCCTGTATTTGGAAGCAGCATTCTTTTTCTTTCTTTTTTTTAAGATCTATTTATTTATTTGAAAGTCAGAGTTACACAGAGAGAGAAGGAGAGGCAGAGAGAGAGAGAGAGAGAGAGGTCTTCCATTTGCTGGTTCGCTCCCCAATTGGCCACATTGGCTGGAGCTGCACCGATCCAAAGCCAGGAGCCAGGAGCTTCCTCCAGGTCTTCCCACGTGGGTGCAGGAGCCCAAGGACTTGGGCCATCTTCTACTGCTTTCCCAGGCCATAGCAGAGAGCTGGATCAGAAGTGGAGCAGCTGGGTCTTGAATCGGCACTCATATGGGATGCCGGCACTGCAGGCGGCAGCTTTACCTGCTATGCCACAGCGCCGGCCCCAGTAGCATTCTGTTTCAAAGTCAGTTGTATGGCCAACCCTAGGGAAGTGAAGAATTAGTACCAATAGCTTAAATTAATCATCATAAATTTAGAGCAGATTTTATGCATGAAAAACCCTTCCACTGTATTCTTTTACCTCTTCTTTACAATCTGTGGCTCTCATTAATTAGAAGGCTTTGACCTTAGGTTTGTAATTAGTCTTTAAGATTTATTTATTTATTTATTTTTTGACAGGCAGAGTGGACAGTGAGAGAGACAGACAGAAAGAAAGTTCTTCCTTTGCCGTTGGTTTACCCTCCAATGGCCGCCGCGGCCAGCGCGCTGCGGCTGGCGCACCGCGCTGATCCGATGGCAGGAGCCAGGTACTTATCCTGGTCTCCCATGGGGTGCAGGGACCAAGCACTTGGGCCATCTTCCACTGCACTCCCTGGCCACAGCAGAGAGCTGGCCTGGAAGAGGGGCAACCAGGACAGAATCCGGAGCCCTGACCGGCACTAGAACCCGGTGTGCTGGCGCCGCAAGGCGGAGGATTAGCCTAGTGAGCCACGGTGCCGGCCTGTATTTAGTCTTGATAGTCAATCCTTCTTTCATCCTTAGTGTAAGGGTGAACTCTTTTTTGTTTAAGATTTATTTCTTTGTTTGAAAGGCAGAGTGTGGGAAGAGAGAGAGAAAAGCCTTGTATCTGTGGTTCACTTCCTCAAATAACTGCAAGAGCAGGAGCTGGGCCAGCCTGAAGCCAGGAGCCTGTAACTCCATCTTGGTCTCTTATGTGGGTGGCAGGGACTCAAGTACTTGGGACATTGTCCACTGCTCTCTCAGGTGAGCTGAATCAGAACCAGAGCGGCAGGGAGTTGAACTGGCACTCTACTATGGGATGTCAGTGTGACAGGCAGCAGCTTAGCCTGATGCATCATAACACCAGCTCCAAGGGGCAACATGGGTATTGGACGTCATGCAGATCTGTATTGGGAACAGACAGACTGCTCTGCCACGCAAAAGTGGGTGTGGTCCTAGGCAACCCACAAGCCCTCTAAGCCATACCTGTAACGTCAAGCACCTGGCATGGTGAATGACACCTGCTCAATAAATGGTTAACAATAAAAATAACAATAAGAATGCCAGGATGGCATTGGAAAAAAGTCTGAACCTGGGTTCTTGTATTTTTTTTAAAGCTTTTGTTTATTTAATTGAGAGGTAATGTTATAGAGAGAGGGAGAGACAGAGAGAAAAATCTTCCATCTGCTGATTCACTCCCCAAATGGCTGCAATGGTTGAAGCTGTGCTGATCTGAAGCCAGGAGCCAGGAGCTTCTTCCTGGTCTCCCATGCAGGTGCAGGGGCCCAAGCACTTGGGCCATCTTCTACTGCTTTCTCAGGCCATAGCGGAGAGCTGGATGGGAAGAGGAGCAACTGAGACTCAAACTGACACCCATATGGGATGCCAGCCCTGCTTAGCCCACTATGCCACAGCGCTGGCCCCTGAACCTGGGTTCTAATCCTGGCTCTACTAAATCATGGTGCACCAAGCCTCTGTAAAATGGCTTTTTCTCCCCTCTCAACTAAAAATTCTGTGCCTGAGTCTAGGTGATGGTTTGTCCATTATAACCTGGTAGAGCATGATAATTTTCTGTCTAGAATGTATTCAGTTTCATTTTCTTCAGTTTCTTTCCAGTTGAAGCTGATGACACAACAGCCATACATTACACCCATTTAGGAACCATCCTGGACCCTCATTTACATTAGCAAATGAACTGGGACTGTGGTCTGGGTTCTACCTTAAGCTGTAATTGTTCTTTGGAAGAGAAAACTCACGTTCTGTGTGTACAGTGGTCTTTTAGTTCTCCTGTTTGTGAGGGGTTCTCAATTAGTGAACCTCACCAGGAGGATGGTTCAGTCAAAAGGCAATCAGGAATTTGAAAGGATTTTTATAAAGGTATTAAGAGTATTCATTAAGCCGGCGCCACGGCTCACTAGGCTAATCCTCCACCTTGCGGTGCCAGCACACCGGGTTCTAGTCCCGGTCGGGGCACCGGATTCTGTCCCGGTTGCCCCTCTTCCAGGCCAGCTCTCTGCTGTAGCCCAGGAGTGCAGTGGAGGATGGCCCAAGTACCTGGGCCCTGCACCCCATGGGAGACCAGGATAAGTACCTGGCTCCTGCCTTCGGATCAGAGTGGTGCGCCTGCCGTGGCGGCCATTGGAGGGTGAACCAACGGCAAAGGAAGACCTTTCTCTCTGTCTCTCTCTCTCACTGTCCACTCTGCCTGTCAAAAAAAAAAACAAAAAAACAAAACAAAACAAAAAAACGCATTCATTAAGCTTCTGTGACAGAGGCCAAAATAACAGAAGCTTCAACGAGACAGAAATCAATTTCTCTTTTCTGTAACAGTTTAAATGTAAGCAGCTGAGCTGTGACTGGGCCGTTCTAGGGCGAAGGGAACCAAGAATCTTCTGCCTCTTGTTTGTGCCACACCACAGTGCATGCACATCCAGCGGGCAGGAGGAGAAAGAAGAACGAGCGAGCGTGTGCCTCCTTTCCAGGGCAGCCCCTGCAAGTCGTGCACAGCCTTTCTTCTCACGTCCATGGGCCACCCTTGCGAGCCGAGGAGACCGGGAAACAGACTTCAGTTAAGCCGGTCGTGTGCCCAGTTCTTCCCTCTACAACCACAGATGGAGAGGAGACTAGATAGTAGGGCTATATGTAGTCTGCAGTACAAGAAACAGTCAAAAAATAAATAATGCTTTTGTACACGATCCTTAGCAAAGTCCTGGAGACGAGGCTGGCTACACTGTGCCTGGCTGTTCCCCACCCACCAGAGCTTCAGACACGTTGCGTTGGGGGAATCCAGTTCCCTGGCCCAGGTCTGAATGCCTGCATACTTCTGGGTCCTTCATGCTTTGCAGGGTCCTCCCCTGCCCCCTGGCTGGCCCTCTGTATTTACTTTGCCATCCGACATGTTGAATCTGCCGCGTCAGTTTTCCACAAGAAATCTTGTTCTTTTAACACTGTGCAACCTTCTGTAGACTTCAATGAGAACACAGAGTGTCAGGAGACGAGGGTCCGCCTTCCTGCTTCTTTGTCTTGGGTAGACCAGTTCTCACATCTGATGCCTTGGTTTTTATGTGACTATTTATTTGCTTTTTAAGACTTCAAAGAACTTGGGTAGGACCTGTCTTTCTCCAATAACAGATTTTGGAGGACATCAGAGTTGTTTAGATTCCTTTACTCTTTTTTTTTAAAAAAAAACATTTTTTTTAAATTATTTGACAGGTAGAGTTATAGACAGTGAGAGAGACAGAGAGAAAGGTCTTCCTTCCCTTGGTTCATTCCCCTAATGGCCAATACGGCCCGCGCTGCACCGATCCAAAGCCAGGAGCCAGGTGCTTCCTCCTGATCTCCCATGCGGGTGCAGGGCCCAAGCACTTGGGCCATCCTCCACTGCCTTCCCGGGCCACAGCATAGAGCTGGACTGGAAGAGGAACAACCGGGACTAGAACCCGGAGCCCATATGGGATGCCAGCGCCGCAGGCAGAGGATTAACCAAGTGAGCCGTGGCACCGGCCCCTATTTTATTATTTCAATTGTGCTTACTTATGAAGTACAATGTGATAACTCACCAAACATTCAATATGGAGGATCAGTTCAGGAGAGTTAGCATCTCCATCTCCCTAGACATTCAAAAAACTTTTCGATTAACACTAATGATGCATATTTATGGGACACATGTGACATCTCAAAAAATATAAACCAGACACAGCAAGATGCATATTTCATATTCTCTTATAATATGTGGAAGCTGAAAAATGTCGATTTGAACATAGAGGCTGGGAGGAATGGAGGGAGGCTGGGGTTTGTCTAACCAGCACAGTCAGACAGCAATAAGCTCCTTGTCTCACACAGCTTAGTGGGGTGACTATAATTCACAACAATCTGTTATGTATTTTCTAAACAAATAGGAAGGGCTCGAGGGCTCCAGTCGTAAGGTAATGAATGACAAGCAGAGGGAACTGTTATCACCCTGGTTTGATCAGTGTACATCAGAGCGCTTTTCTGACATCTCGTGGCCGTGGTAATTATGGTGCTCACTGAGGTGTATAAATGGAGAAAGGGATGAGAAGAGAAAACAGGCAGCTGTAGAGCACCTTGTGTATTTCCAGTGTGGAGCCAGAGCTTAACAGGTGGACTGCTGGGTTTAGAATCTGACTCTGTCCTTTGCAAGCTGATAAGCGTGAGCAGGTGACTTCAACGGGGTTTATAGTGCTACCTGCTAGCAAGGGCGGGATTCACGGGAAGGTGAAGACACTGCATTGCACAAAGTTGTCTGTTGTCAACCATGAGTCGGAACTTCATGTTTCCGTGTGTGTGCATGGGTGGGGGAGGAAGGGAGGGAGAAGTATGACAGGTGGAATTTGGCAAGCGGGAACAAGTTGGGAGAGTAAAGTTTGGAAAACACTGGGCAAGATTAATCATTAACATTATTTCCGTGAGTGGCACCCCTGAGTTTGAACTTGAATTTAAAGTTTCTTGTGTTACAGTTAACTTTTCTCTCCTGAATCCCTGTGGAACAGGCACCTGCAACAACTAAGAAAATCGGAACCAAGTTATATACAAATTGTTAGCTGTTTGTAGAAAAATAACCAAATCAGATGTAACATCCCCATGGTTTGGGGGATGAATGTGAAGCTATGGAGGAGGACAGTGGACGAAAAGCTGTGCTTCAAGTTAAGCTTAGATGCGGCCATACCTGAGTGCTTGTTGTGTCATGTAACGCTCCTGACGCCCAAATGATGGATGTGCCCCTTTTGCTGATAAATTGAGGGCCAGCGAGGTAGATGTTTTGCCCCTGGCTGCCAGGTGTGCAGTGGAGTCAGGCATTCAACAGTCTGATCTCAAAGCCTGGTTTTTGTTCATTCCACTGTTGTGAACTCAGGGGAATTGGTGGGAGGGATTTGTGGATCAAGAAGTGGAGGAAGGGATGCAACTACTTTGAACAACGGGACTGCCCTCTCTCTACCCACACCGTACAGACACTCTTTGATTTGTTGGCTGAACCAGCAGGACCCAACCTACTCACTCTCACCTCAGGTGCTCCCCCTGGTGTGGGAGCGGTAGGTTGCTAACCTTTGCAAGATGGGCTAATTAGCTTCCAGAATCTACAAATCACTCAGGTAGCCACGAAACTATGAAGGGCAGTCAGGGGACATAAGGTATCTACCTAATCTTATTAGGTCTTTCATCTATCAGAGTAAAGACCATATTTTTCCAGATTTGTATTTATTTATTTTAAAGTCAGAATTACACACAGAGAGAGAGAGACAGACAGTCAGGGAGAGAGAGAGATATCTTCCATCCACTGGTTCACTCCCCAAATGGCCACAATGGCTGGGGCTGGGCCAGGCCGAAGTCAGGAGCTTCCTCCAGGTCTCCCACAAGGGTGACAAGGGACCAAGCACTTGGCCATCTTTTGCTCCTTTCCCAGGCACATTAGCAGGGAGCTGGACTGAAAGTGGAGCAGCTGAGGCCGGTGCCACTGCTCAATAGGCTAATCCTCCGCCTGCGGTGCCGGCACACTGGGTTCTAGTCCCAGTCAGGGCGCCGGATTCTGTCCCGGTTGCTCCATTTCCAGTCCAGCTCTCTGCTGGGCCCGGGAGTGCAGTGGAGGATGGCCCAAGTCCTTGGGCCCTGCACCCCCATGGAAGACCAGGAGAAGCACCTGGCTCCTGCCTTCGGATCAGCGCAGTGCGCCAGCCACAGCACGCCGGCTGCAGCGGCCACTGGGGGGTGAACCAACGGCAAAGGAAGACCTTTTTCTCTGTCTCTCTCTCTCTCACTGTCCACTCTGCCTGTCAAAAAAAAAAAAAAAAAAAAAAGTGGAGCAGCTGAGACTTGAACCAGTGCTCGGATATGGGACACCAGCATAGCAAGCTGTGCCACAAAGCCGGCCCCTAGAATGCACGTGCTGGCAAGCATGTTTATACTCATCAAAATATTAAGGAAGGGTATTTCCAATGAGATTATAAGTCATGACACTTCTTGATCAGGAATGAGTTGTGGACTTCTGTGTGACAGCATCATCACAAAGTTAGTGTTAAAGCAAGAGGCACTGAGGACCTCACAGTTTGTGTGGGTCAGGGCTCCATCGGCAGCCTAGCCGGATTTCTGCAAGGCTGCAGTCACAGCATTGGCCAGGGTTGGTTTCTCATCTAGGCTTGGCTGGGGAAGGATCTGCTTCCAAGCTTGTGTGGTTGTCGGCAGCATTCGATTCCTTGAAGTCTTCCAGAGTGGGGACACACTCAGCCTTTTGCTGGTTGTCCATTGAAAGCCACCCTAGTGTCTTACCTTGTGGTTCCTCCCCTCTTCTCTGGCAGGTGTGGCAGTGTGGAGGGAAGATCGAGATCTTACCCTGCTCCCGGGTTGCTCACCTAGAGAGACACCACAAGCCCTACGCCTTGGACCTGATCCCTATCTTGAAGCGCAATGCTCTTCGAGTGGCTGAACTCTGGATGGACGAGCACAAACACATGGTCTACTTGGCCTGGAACATTCCTGTCCAGGTTTGTTGCGGAATGGAACGGACGTTGGGAAGAACAAAGGAAGCAGAGGCAGCAGTGAGGCTGGGGAATGGGAAGGGATAGAGCTAAAGTGCCATCCAGCCCTAAAGACGTAGGGCGCATTCCTAATGGTGCGGCAGTCATGGTCCTCGGCATTCGTGTAGCAATGCTGTGTTCCAGGCACTGTCTAATGAGTTGACTCATTAACTGCCCCAGCATGCCTATGGGGTATGTTTTATAGAAATGGCACAGAGAGTTGGAAGAAACCCGTTTAAGGTAATAGCGAAGATTCAAGTGAAGGAAGTCTGGCAGCTGCTTCTGCTGCTGCTGCTGCTTCTTCTTCTTATTTATTTATTTATTTATTTGAGAGGCAGTTACAGGTTACAGAGAATGGGAGAGGTCTTCTATCGTCTGATCACTCTCCAAATGGCATCAACAGCCAGAGCTGAGCTGATCCAAAGCTAGGAGCCAGGAGCTTCTTCCGGGTTTCCCATGTGGATGCAGGAGCCCAAGTGCTTGGGCCATCTTCCACTGCTTTCCCAGGCCTTAGAGAGAGAGCTGGATCAGAGGAGCAGTTGGGACATGAACTGACGCCAACATGGGATGCTGGCACCACAGGAGGAGGCTTAGCCTACTGTGCTACAGCGCAGGCCCCAGAAGTCTGGCTTCTAAATTCTATGTTTTTTATCCTTCTATAATGAGTGAGTCCTTGCCAGGGAGTTTTGGACATCAGGAATTCACTGTTTTACGAGTACATACATGTGGCAGGCAGGATGTAGGGAAGGGAGAAGAAACAGTGTAGTTCTGTTAGGTGCATGTCCTCGAGGAAGACCTTCTTGGTTAAGCTCACTCTTCTGCCCCAGCCCCCCGAGTTCAGTGTGGTCAAGCCTACCAAGTTGTCTCGGCCCGTGGGGCTCAGCCTTCTCATTGTTAAACTCTTCACCTGCATTGCAGGAGACTCAAAAGTAGTCTCCAGAAAAACAGGGGTTCAGGGTGGCAGGAGGCTCTGGAATGGATCTATAAGGAAAAATCTGGAACTCACATGGGGTCAGGAGCCAGGTCAACCCCAGCATCACTAGGACTGGAAAAGGTAAAAATGTTTAGAAATGCCTGCTCCTTCTTTATGACTCGAAGTAGTCAAGATCTACTGATCTGCAGTGAGCTCATTGTTTGAAGAGATGGGCAAGAATTTAATCTGGTGTCCCAGTATACCAAGCTGTGAGAGGAAAACAAGAGCCCTCCAGGACATTCTTAGCTGTCTGTAGAGTGATATTGCGTCTTTCCTAAGCTATCAAGGGAAATGTCCATAAATCAATGAACTTCTACAAAGGATGATGGGAAACAAACACTGAGGAGAAGTCTGAGAAGAGGCAGCTATAGTGACGATTGCTGCAAGTCCTTCTCAATTTGGCCTCTGTGCCCCCCCCCCCCCCATAGCCCCGGGTAGCACTTCTACAAAGTCCCAAGCTGGTTTCTACAAAACCTCCAAGCTGGATGTCAGAATATTCCTTTTGAAAGCTTTTTCTAGCCATTCCTGGGAGTCCTGGGTATCTCACCATCTCAGACATCTCGCAGTGATGACAAATAAACCCAAGTGTCTCCACTGTGCAGGCCCTGCAAGTGTCTTAGAAACCAGGAGAGGTTCCTGGGACTCCAGGTTTCTCCACTTTCTCTGGAAGTACAAAATATCAGGCTACATCAGGCCAAGACTCTCAGGCCAAGGCTCAGTCCCCTTCTGTGTGGTCCACACCCACTGGCGGAGTGGAAGCGATGGCTTAGACCAAGGCACAGACAGGCTCCGTGTTTTATTTACAGAATTCTGGCATTGATTATGGAGACATCTCTTCCAAAATGGCACTCCGGGAGAAACTGAAATGTAGAAGCTTTGACTGGTACCTGAAAAATGTGTATCCGATCCTGAAACCAATCCACAGCATCGTGGGCTATGGACAGGTATATGTCGTGAAATCATACCTTGGGATTTAAGTACTTGGCTATCAAAGACACTGTGACGCCATCACATGACTGCTAGGTGGAACATTTCCCAAATCCGCCTTGCCCAAGACCCCTCCCCTCCTCCCACCCTTTCCTCAGCTTTTTGTGCTTGGACTCTCATTTCCCAACCTCTTTTGCTTCCCCATCCCCTCCTCTTTTCCTTCTCTCTGCCTCTTGTCCCCTGCCAACTGCAGCCTGTGTCCCCACCTCTCGGTTTCTCAGCCAAGCAGGGTGTGTGGCACGTCCACCTGCACCCGACCCTTCTGTGGCGGTGCCGTGATGGTCTGGGCGTGCCGTTCTCCGCAAGTGGGTATCTCAGCAGCACCTCACCTAAGCATCTGCCTAATCCCCAGTGCTTGGCAAAGCCCTGCCAGCATCCCAGGCCCCTGGTGTGCTGGGAAAAGCACAGGGCCTTGGCGAAGCTTGGGGCCCTCTCTCGATGCCTCTCTCTAATCGAGTTTCTGTGTGTTTTGTCTCTTCAGATGAAAAACTCATTGGATCAAAGTGTCTGCCTGGATCAAGGGCCCATTCCAGGCAACACCCCGATCATGCATCAGTGCCACACTTTCAACCCACAGGTGCCTCCCTCCCGTCTTCCCTGTCCCCCAGCCTGACACTGTGGGGACTCAGCCCCTTGTAGCCCTTGCCAGATTTCGACTCTGTGTTAGATGATGGGGAGGCAGGAGCTGAAAAATCAGGGTGGAGGGTGAGGGTGAGACCCAAACCTGCCTCTGGAACTGAACACCTCATAGTTCTTGCAAGCCTGAACGAAGGTGGTTCCATTTTTCCACTTTTGGAACAGACTGGGGGCTGGGCTCTGTCACATGTACTCTATGTGGTGACATTGCATTGCCAACACCTCTAATTTCTTCCTTGTCTCCTCGTACCTCTGCCAGCCCCTGCCTCCCACTCTGATGCCTGTGTGCCCCGAGTGACTGGTGAAGCCACCTGTGCTTCTCCTGCAGAGAAGCTGGAGAAGACAGAGGCTGACTGGGGCTCTGTCCACCATGGGGTGGGAGAGATCTGACACCAAGTGGAGACGGGAGCCAGGAGACTTTTTTTTTTCTGCCGAGGGTGCTCACATTTATCGACTTTATGCAACCTTCCCATGAGGTGTGCATGTCTGAAACCATTCCCAGTGAACAGATGAGAAAAACTGAGACACAAAAACAGCCAACTTACCCAACTCCCCAAGCAATGTAGTGTCAGATTGGGAATTTGCAAAGTTTCCTGGCAGCAAGCCCCTAGCTGGGACTTTATGGTGACAGTTGCTGAAGTTGTGATTTTTTTTTCTTTCTTCAAAGGCAAGCTTCCCCATCCGTGCAAGCCAGGATTCTGTTTGAGACCTTGTAGAGAGCGAATCAGGCTCGGTGACTTGCCCCAGGCCGGGTGTCTCTTGATGTCTACTGGGGGCTGGAAACAAAGAGGCAGAAGCAGCTCCTGTTGCCAAGAAAGTGCAGGGCTCCCCTTGCTGCTGAGTGTCCAGGGGCCCCGTGAGCAGCCTTCCTGTCCTCTATCAGGTCAAGGCCTCCCTGCTCACTGTGCCTGAGCTGGATCCCTCGACTCTTTTCCAGAATGTCTACTACCACCTGACAGGGGAGTTCTACTTAGGACCGCTGATTGCAGAAGCCAGGACTGATGACCGCTGCCTGACAGATCGTGGTGATGGGGACAGACCCACACTGGAGGCATGTTCCATTGCAGCCCAGAATGGGTGGCACATTTATTGGGATTTTACACAGGTGTGTTGTATGTTTTTTTTTAGGTAGTCAATTTTAAGTATAGTATGAGGGGTTCAGATTTAGTTTAATAGGATTTTAGGAAAATCATGGTTGAGAGTTTGGGCTCCAGGCCGAGAGCTGTCCACTTCAGCAGGGTCCTTGGCCTCCCTGAAGCTCGGATTCCCCATCTGTAAAGTGGAGGTAATAATGTCTGCTTTGCAAGCCCGTGGTCGTGTGTGTAAAGCAGTCAGCTTGGTGCCTGGCGTGGAGGCGTGTTGGGTAAATATCAACCATTGTGATTCGTGTCAGTATTAGTGGTTATCAGACTGTGTGGAGCCCCGGGCTGAAACCTAACAGGAACTAATGTCAAAACCCTACCTCTGACTTCTACATCAAATGGCCAGGTACAGAGTGGGAGGATCCAGAAGGATTCATGGGAAAAAGACATGAGGGATTTGGACGACCACAGCCTACCTGCTCCAAAAGCCATCACACTTAGGCCACCTTGGTAGGACAGTGATGTCCCGATGAGTGTAGGTACTGCCCTGGCTGTGACTCTGTCTGAACACGCTGGCACTGTGTCAGGTGAGGTGGGACATTTTATTTAAGAGCCATGGACAATCTGGCTGAGCAGTTCCTAACTTTGTCAAGTGAATGAGCCCTTTGAGAATTTGCTGCCTATTATGGGTTCTGTCCCCAGGAACATTTACATACATATATGCAGCTGGGGCCGCTTCCCTTACAATGGCAGAGGGATTTTGCCTTGTAGACTAAGTCTTCCTGAAACTGGACAATATCAAGTAGAAGGAGGAGGGTAATGTCTTCTTAGTCTCTGGTGTCTCTCTGTAAGCTCCCATTATATGGAACTTCATGGAATTCAATGAAAGGCCATGCTCCCTCTTACCTTCAGCCCCTTTGCAGGTGTTATTCCATCTCCGCTCACCTCTTCAGCAGGCCACCTGCAACGCTTCCCTCCAGTCTGTGATACTGGCTCCTTTGGGCAGCCTTCTGTACTCCCACAGGAGTAGAAAAGGTGGATCCTCTGGGTATTCTCCCAGCCCCTCTTGTAGCACTTGTCTCATCGTCTTTCTTTTGAAAAATTTATTGATTTGTTTTCTTTTTTATATGAAAGGCAGAGAAGCAGAGAGATAGAAAGATGGACAGAGAGAGAGAGAGCAAGATATCTCATCCATCCTGGTTCACCCTCCACTTGCTCACAACAGCCTGGGCTGGGCCAGGTTGAAGCCAGGAGCCCAGAACTCAGTTTTGGTCTTCCTTGTGTGTGACAGGGACCCAACTGCTTGAGCCACCACCTGATGCCTCCCAGTGTGCACATCAGCGGGAAGCTGGATTGGAACAGCGGAACTAGGACTATATTTTTAAAGATTTATTTATTTGAAAGGCAGAGTGATAGAGGGATAAGGAGGGGAGAGAGAGATGAGAGAGAGAGAGAGAGAGAGAGAGAGAGAGAGAGAGAGATTGGTTCACTCCTCAAATGGCTGCAACAACGCAGGCTGGTCCAGGCAGAAACCAGAAGCCCAGAGCTCCATCCGGGTCTCCCAAGGGGGTAGCAGGGACCTAAGTACTTAAGCCATGTTCTTCTGTCTCTGAGACGCATTGGCAGGGAACTTGAACCAGTGCTCCAAAGTGGAGTGCTGCTGACACAAATGGCAGCTTGGCTCACTGCATTACAACACCTCACCTCCCACTCCCCACCCTGCCCCACAGACCCCAGGAGCCAGGACTTGAACAGGCATTCCAATATGCCCACTTAACCTGTGATCCAAATGCCCGCCTCTTGTCTCTTCATCTCTCACGACTGCCTGCTGGCCCACTTCTGTGTGTAACTGGGCTGTGAGCCAGAGGGCCAGGCCTGGGTTTTGTTTGCTGTTCCCTGCCTAGCATCTCACACTACACCCAGAATGATACAGGCAATCAGTGAGTGGCCGCAGAACAAATGAAAGATTGGTGGATCTGGAAGATTTTGCTCGGAGAGGTAAGCCTAGGGAAAAGGTGATGTTGCCTTCATGAGGAAGAGGAGTGGACATGTTTAGTGTCGCTGGTGCCAAAACTGCCACAAATGCCTGGTGATGATGGAAGAGGCCGATGTAGACTTAGTACAAGGTGCTGTTCTATACTTAATGGGCTCACTGCCAAGGGCAAGCAAGGTGCCTTTTTTTTTTAACTTTTATTTAATGAATATAAATTTCCAAAGTACAGCTTATGGATTACAATGGCTTCCCCCCAATAACTTCCCTCCTACCCGCAACCCTCCCCTTTCCCACTCCCTCTCCCCTTCCATTCACATCAAGATTCATTATCAATTCTCTTTATATACAGAAGATCAGTTTAGCATATATTAAGTAAAGATTTCAACAGTTTGCACCCACATAGAAACACAAAGTGAACAATACTGTTTGAGTACTCATTATAGCATTAAATCTCAATGTACAGCACACTAAGGACAGAGATCCTACATGAGGAGTAAGTGCACAGGTACAATTTGGGACATGCTCAAGCTGACTTGCCCCAAACGGTAGAGTTAGAAACATACCAGGGGATTCCAATTCAATCCCATCAAGGTGGCGTGTACCAATGCCATCTCACTAGTCCAAGTGATCAATTTCTGTTCACAATTGATCATAATGATAGGACTAAGAGCCAAAGGGAGCACATAAGCAAGGTGCCTTTTAGCATCTGGCAGGCGGAGGGATTTGACGTCCTCAGTGGCGTCTTCTGTGTACAAAATACTACTACAGCTTTACCTGGTGTTAAGAAATTAATGTGCACATATTAATGTTATAATTTTTTAAAAACTGATTTTTCTTTAAGCTCTTAAATTCAAATTACCAATCTTAGGGTTCTATCTATAAGCCTAGCACATTTTAATAATCTCTCTAATGGTACTTTTATAGTTAAATACATGAAATCCCCCTTAAACATTTTGGATGGTGTTTGTAAATTTCAAACTATCCATTACATTTTCTTCCTTAAGAACTTAAATTATATGATTTTACATTTACTAATTTTTAAAAAAGATTTATTTCACTTATTTGAAAGACAGAGTGTCAGAAAGAGAGGGAGAGACAGAGAGAAATCTTCCATCTGCTGGTTCACTCCCCAAATGGTTGCAATGGCTGGGGCTGGACCCATTGAAGCCAGAAACTCCATCTGTGTCTCCTGTGTGGGTGGCAGGCACCCAAGTACTTGGACCCCTGGTGCATTAGTGGGTAACTGGATTGGAAGCAGAGCAGCTGGGACTCAAATCGGTGCTCAGATATGGGATACCAGGGTTGTGGGCGGTGGCCTGACCTGCTGTTAAGCCAGCCCCCATTTAGTGATTCTTAAGTTGTCTTTAATGTTTCAAAAGTGTTTACAAAGTCAATAAAACATCAACTGAATGATCACAAGTGTGATCATTCAACATTTTGAAGCTAGTGTCACAGGTTTAATCTCTACGATGCTGTGCTGTGTTTTTTTTTTTTTTTTTTTTTGGACAGGGCAGAGCGGACAGGGCAGAGAGAGACAGAGAGAAAGGTCTTTCCTTTTGCCGTTTGGTTCACCCTCCAATGGCCGCCGCGGCCTGCGCGCTGCAGCCGGTGCACCGCGCTGATTCGATGGCAGGAGCCAGGAGCCAGGTGTTTTTCCTGGTCTCCCTTGGGGTGCAGGGCCCAAGCACCTGGGCCATCCTCCACTGCACTCCCTGGCCACAGCAGAGAGCTGGCCTGGAAGAGGGGCAACCGGGACAGAATCCGGCGCCCCCAACCGGGACTAGAACCCGGTGTGCCGGTGCCGCTAGGCGGAGGATTAGGCTAGTGAGCCGCGGCGCCGGCCAACAATGCTGATTTTTATTACACATAGTAAGTACTTAAAAATAGTAAATATACACAAAATCTTCAGCAAAGACTGAATGTTTGAGTCCCTTCCTGTCTACACTCTGTTCTCAGTTTCCTGGGAATTAAAGCTAGGACGAATCCTGAAGAAATGCTGACGGTGGGGCAGGCATTTTGGCATAGCACGTTAAGCTACAGCCTACAATGCTGGCATCCCAATGAGCACCATTTCATGTCCCAGCTGCTCCACTTCCAAGCCAGCTAATGCAACAGAAGGCGGCCGAAGTGCCTGGATCCCTGCACGCGTGTGGGAGACCAGGATGAAGCTCCCAGCTCCTGACTTCAGCCTGGCTCAGCCCTGGCCATTGTGGCCATTTGGGGAGTGAACCAGCAGATGGAAGATCTCTCTGTGTCTCTTCCTCTCTCTCTCTCTAACTCTACCTTTCAATTAAATTTTTTGAAAAGAAAGAAAAAAAGAAAGAAAGAAAAAAGAGGAGGAGGAGGATGCAGAGACGAATGTTAGGAAAAGTGATTCTCCAGGATCGAGAATGGCTGGGCTCAGAGTACAGGGGCTGCTGGCGGGAGACACAGGGCAACTCCTTGGATTTAGTCAAAGAGGCAGCATCATGGAGGCCGCTGGCGGCTTTGGGTGAGGGGACAGATTGACAAGAAGTGTGGCCTTCTGTCATTGAGGAGACATAAGCATCAAGGCGTGGAGCCAAGGGGCAAGGCCTGCTGGGGAGGCCTGGAACAGTGACGCTGAGGAGGGAGCCAAGCTGAGGCCAGGCTGCTGTGGGCACGGTGGTGAGCCAGGCTGCTGGGTCCTGGGGCCTGGCCAGGAGCATTCTGTGGTCTGGAAGCAGAGGCTGTGAGAAGGGAACACTGAGGGTAGGGAAGCTCCCAGAATCTGGAGAAGCACCTGAAATGACCCATGCTGGGTGGGCGCCCTCAGGAGGTGAGGCTGGTGGAGGTGAGGGGATTCAGAGGCAGGGAAATTTGGAAGAGCAGAGGTTGCTGGGAACTTTGTGATTGAAATAGAGGAGAGGAGGTGGGTGCAGGGCCTGGTGGTTAAGCCACCGGTCTCAGTCCTGGCTCTGCTCCAGGTTCCAGCCTCCTGCTAAATGCACACCCTGGGAGGCAGCTGTGATGACTCAAGGATCTGGGTCTTTGCCACCCACATTAGAGAACTGGATTGAATTCCCAGCTCCCAGTTTTGGCCTGGCCCAGTCCCAGCTGTTGCGGGCATATGGGGGCATAAACTAGCAGAGGACAGTTCTGTCTGTCTGTTTCTCTGCTTCTTAAATAAATACATACATACATACATACGTAAAAATTTTTTTAAAAAGAGAAAGAGATGGGAGGCAGGGAGACAGTGGTTGGAGAGGGAGCAGAGATTTGATTTCAGAGCTGCGACCTGCCTGGTGGCGGTTGATCCTAAGATGGGCTGTGGCCTCTGAGGGTGGCGGCAGAGGCCTGGTGGCTGAGAGACAAACAAGCTGCTGCAGGCACTGATGGAGAGGCTGGGAGTGAGTCCCGCAAGGGGAGATGAGAGCAGGCCCCTGGGAGGTGGGCACTTGGGCATTTGGCCAGATCATCCCACTGCAGAGACATGGAGATGGGGAGGAGGGAGCTTGGGAGTTGGAGCAGCAGGAAGCTGACCCCTGAGCGCTGGAGGGCATAGGCTGAGATCCCCAGGGGAGCTTCTGCTCCAGGCTGACTCGGTTTTGGAGGAGGGAGGGGAAACACAAGGCGAGGGTGATGCTACTGGGTTTCACAGGGCAGAGGTGAGGACGTGGAAAGGAGGCCACGTTGAGAAAGGCCCAGGGCTCCCAGACCCCTGGGTGCACACCTGTCAGTGTCCACCCCATGCTTCATCCCAGGAGAGGCCCGTAGCGTCCTCTGAAGCCAGTGCAGCCTCACTAGGTGGGTTGTTGGTTCACCGCTAAGCTGGTAGAGAGAGCACCAGGTGATCTGGTTCTGCACGCCACCTTCTCGTCCCCTGCTGGCATCTCGGATCCCGGCAGGCAGAGCAGGGGCAGGCAACATGACCCCTTGCCAGTGTCTCTCATACCTTAGTTCTGTCCTTCTCTCTCCAGGGAAGCGCGGTCATCAACAGGGGCACCAAACGGTGTCTGGAGGTGAAGAAGGACCCTTCAGGCACGTTCGTGCCTGTGCTCCGGACCTGTACCTCACAAGCATGGAAAATTCAGCACACTCTCAAAAACTGGGGCCTCCCTCCAAGCCAGTGAGCCTGGGAGAGGCTGCGCTGGGGACACCAGCTCTTCCAACTGGAACAGCTTCTACTCTCAATGATGCTCGAAGTGGGAGAGGGTGAGAGCACCCAAGTGTGCGTGTGTGTGCCCGTGCACGTGTGTGTGTGTGTGTGTGTGTGTGTGTGTGTGTGTCTGACTTCAGCATGCAATATCCAGGGGTGCCTGCCGCCCGTGCACGTGTTGGGTGTCTGCAGGCGACCAGCGAGGAAGCTCCGATGCTTCCTCCCTCACTTCCCGTGGAAGGTCGTGATGTATTTCAGACGCCGTTCTTGGAAACTCCTTGAAATAACCAACATCGTCTGGAGAGAAGGAGGAAGATGGAAGTTGGTCTCTGACTGCTGCCAGCAGTGTTTAGCCTTCCTTGCCGACAGCTACTCTCAGCACCTGCCGGCACCTCCTCCCGCAGCCCATCTGCTCGGAGGCGCCCCAGCCTGCCGTGGGGACGTTCCACGTGAGAGGCCGGGCCGTCCTCCGCCGGCAGCCCCACCCCTGCTCAGGTGGCACCAATACCTCTGCTTTCTGAACTGTCCTGGGGCATATAGCACGTGGGCTCTACACACCCGCCACCTGTGCCCCCACAGCAGTTTTCTGGGGATTACTGCTCTCTCCCGAACCTCAGGAAGTGCAGAGGCGAATGAGGGAGAGAAGCCACCACAACCATCCCGAGCTCTTCCAAGGGATCGTGCAGAGAGAGCAGGAGAAAGATGGGGGCCCAACCAAGTCTGCTCTAAGTGGTCATGGTGCTGAGTGACTTGATTACCCGTTTCCTCCCACTGCCCCCGTGAATGACGGTGAAAATTAGGCTTGAAACAAAGGGACGTCGCTTTTGGGGGCACAAAGAAGGAACTGCAGGCAAGAGTTTAAAACCCAGCCAGCCTCTCTTCTGGGTAAATCTCTTCTCCCAGTTGGTGGGTTGGGAAGGTATGTCCAGGACTGCCTCTTGGAAGATCTTGGAGGAAGCAGAATATGTGTGTGTGTGTGTGTGTGTGTGGTAATTTTGTGGGAGAGAAACCTGGCAGATACTACCTTACCTTACCCATCAAATATGCCCCTTCTTCACAGAGATCCTTTTTCCCCTTAGTCCATGCCGGGGTTACCCAGGAATCATGAAATTTCCCATTGGCCTTAAGTGGGACAGACACTGGCACCTGAGCACAGGATTAAAGCAATCAAGACCTCTTTTCAACTGTAGCCAGTAAAGCCACCGCCTGTAGTGCTGGCATCCCGTGTGGGCGCTGGTTACAGTCCTGGTTGCTGCACTTCTGGTCCAGCTCTCTGCTATGGCCTGGGAAAGCAGTAGAAGATGGCCCAAGTGCTTGGGCCCTTGCACACACATGGGAGACCTGGAAGAAGCTCCTGGCTCCTGGCTTTGGATCGGCCCAGTTCCAGCAGTTGCAGCCATCTGGGGAGTGAACCAGAGGATGGAAAACCTCTCTCTCTCTCTGTGTGTGTGCCTCTGCCTCTCTGTAGCTCTGCCTTTTAAATCAATCAATCAATCTTTTTTTTTTAAAGAAAGACTTTTCTCAAGAAAACGAAGTTTTCAAAGTCTTAAGTGTGCAGCTGGATAAAGATTTCACAAAGAGCACATCCATCCCAAGAACTGAAACAAGCCCACAGAGGAGAGTTTATTAGGGAACCATGCAGGCTCACCGTGAACGTCCAGCACATATGTGACTTCTCACTTCTGCCCGGCATGCAGCAAGCAAAATGCAATCGATGGTAAGCCCTGAAAAGAACGTGAACCTAGCAGAGAAGTGGACACAAGCCACCATATCCCGACACATCTGGGACGATGTCTAACCGCACTCAGAGAGAGATTCAAGTTAAAACCACTGAGATAATTTTCACTTAAATTGGGGGAAATGGCAAAGTATGAAAAAGCGTTTTTTTGGTCAGGACTGTGGGAAACAGGCTACCTCGTTTGTTGGTAGCAGAGACGAAAGCTGGTACAATCTTGTTAGTGGGGATATTTGCTGCAATCTCAAAGCACTACGGTATAGTTCCTGTTCATGCCCGTAAAGATCAAAGAATACTTATGCACCAAATAATTCTCTGCAGTATTGATTGTAAATGAAAAATGTAGGAAGCAAACTATATTCCCAAACATCAGAGACTGGTTAAATGCATCCAACAAATAGAGTTCTAGGCAGCTATTAAAAAAATGAAAAGAAAGATCTCTTTGAACTGATATGGAGTGATTTCCAGTATATTTCTATTTTGTTTATAGAAAAATAGGATTTATGATATGTATCTTTTAGATAAGAAATAAGGGGAAAATATATATGTGTCAATATGCAAGTTTCTGTTGGCTCTGTACAATGAAACATAAGGAAAATAAACCAGAAACTGATGAGCTGGGTTGTAATGGGTGGTCGTGGTTGGGAACGGGGCAAAGGACTGGAGAAAAAGTAGGATAGAAGAGATGTAGATACTTCTCTTAAGTATGTACTTTTTCTATAATTTCAACTTTTAGAGCCATGTTCCATATATTCAAATGTATGGATTATGAACCAAAACAGGTGACCCTAACTATATCCTTGTACTTTAAATGAACACACACAGAGCACACTTAGCATCAAGCATCCAGATTTTGGTTTCTAAATATTTTCCAATAAAAGGAATTGGGGCTCCTTGGAGAAATTGCTAAGTTTAGGGCTGGGGCTGGGACATCTTCCTGTGTTAGAAAGTGAGGCGCTGCTCCAAGAATGATGAGGACACATCCCATACCACAGCAGCCACGTCGAAGGCGCTCCCACCAGACAGACTGGGCTAAGCTGAGCATTAAAATCTTTAATTATGTTAATATATTATAAGCCATAAAATCCATGGGTCCATCCAGTTGAAGGAACAAATGCATGAATGAATGAAAAGAAAGAAATCTTTTCCTTATGGTAGGATGGCAACTAATAAAGGCAGAAGTTATTACATAACTAGAAAACCACCATCAGTACCCACCCTATTAAAATCTTTCAGGCAACAGTCATTAATGGGGGCTGGCGTTGTGGTGCAGGGGGTTAAGCTACCCCCTGTGATGCTGATATCCCTTATGGGGGCCTGTTTGAGTCCAGGCTGCTCTGCTTCTGATCTGGCTCTCTGCTAATGTACCTGGGAAAACAGAAGCTGACCCAAGTGTTTGGTCCCCTGTATCCACATGGGGGATCCAGATACAGGTCCTGGCTCCTGGTTTTGGCCTGGCCCAGCCCTGGTGGTTGTGACCACCTGGGGAGTGAACCAGAGAATGGAAGACCTCTCTCTCTCTCTCTTTCTGTCTCTCTCTAACTCTGTGTTTCAACAAATCTTTAAAAAAGATTTGTTAAACAAATCTTTAAAAAAGATTTGTTAAACAAATCTTTAAACAACATTTGTTAAACAAATCTTTAAACAACTCTTAAAAACAAATCTTAAAAAAGATTTGTTAAACAAATATTTAAAAAAATCATTAATGGGGCTGGCGCCATGGCTCACTTGGTTAATCCTCCGCCTGTGGCACCAGCATCCCATATGGGCACCGGGTTCTAGTCCCGGTTGCTCCTCTTCCAGTCCAGCTCTGCTGTGGCCCAGGAAGGCAGTGGAGGATGGTCCAAATGCTTGGGTGCCTGCACCCGTGTGGGAGACCAGGAGGAAGCACCTGGCTCCTGGCTTTGGATCGGCGTAGTTCTGGCCGTAGCAGCCATTTGGGGGGTGAACCAATGGAAGGAAGACCTTTCTCTCTTTCTCTCACTGCCTAACTCTATCTGCCAAATTAAAAAAAAAATCATTAATGGATGTTAAAACTAGTGTGTGATGAGAAACAGTATACACATCAAAGAAATCCCTAGGAGATATTTATTAACCACTAAGGGAAAAAACAGTAATTTTGTGAGAGAGAAACCTGGGAGATACCTGTTAACTGAGTGATCCACGTGAACAACACCTGTTATTGGACAAATGGATGTCTTGTGCCTCCTGATATCATGCACCAGAGAACGATGCCATTCCTATGGTGTTCCTGCTCAAAATTTAGAATCCGAAGCTGTCATTTTGAGGATCCCAAAGTGAGGGGCACTCTTCAGAGACATGGTCGGCATGCTTCAAAAATGGAACGACGAAGACTGACTGAGGAACTCGTCCAGATAAAAGGGAAATTGCAGAGACATGACAACTGTGTGTAACATGTGGTCCCGGGTCAGGTCCTGGGCCCCCGGGGCTATTTTCTTCCTTTGGTTTTAAAGAATGGTAGTAATTGGAGAAATTTAAAAGGTTTATGGTATCAATGTCATTTTCCTGATTTTCAGCATTGTGTTCTGGCTGTATAAGAGAATGTAATGGATTTTATCAACTAGTCACCAAGGGGCCAGCGTTATAGCATGGCAGCTAAAGCCTCCACCTGTGACACCAGCATCCCATGTGGGCGCTGGTTTGAGTCCTGGCTGCTCCACTTCTGATCCAGCTCCCTGCTAATGCCCCTGAGAAAAGCGGCAGAATATGGTCCAACTATCAAGCCCCTGCCTTCTGCCTTTGGCCTGGCCCAGCCCTGGTCATTGCAGCCATCTGGGGAGTGAACCAGCAAATGGAAGATCTCTGTCTTTCTCGGTAACTCTGACTTTCAAATAAATAAATAATTCTTTTTTTTTTTTTTATAGAGTCATTGAATAGAGTGGAGAAAGAGATTTTATACAGGCACACAGATGATAGAAATAGATAGAGGAGGGATTGAGGAAGTAAAACTAGCAGTGTATATCCGGAGGAACAGCAAAGAACACACAGGAACTCTTTGTACTATGCTCGCAACATTTTTGTAAATTGGGAATTGTTAAAAATAAAAAGATTTAAGCTAGCGCCATGGCTCACTAGGCTAATCCTCCACCTGCAGCACTGGCACCCCGGGATCTAGTCCCAGTTGGGGTGCCGGTTCTGTCCCGGTTGCTCCTCTTCCAGTCCAGCTCTCTGCTGTAGCCCAGGAAGGCAGTGGAGGATGGCCCAAGTGCTTGGGCCCTGCACCCGCATGGGAGACCAGGAGAAGCACCTGGCTCCTGGCTTCGGATCAGCATAGTTCTGGCCATAGTGGCCATTTTGGGGGGTGAACCAACAGAAGGAAGACCTTTCTCTCTGTCTCTCTCTCTCACTGTCTAACTCTGCCTGTCAAAAAATAAATAAATAAAAAGATTTAAACTGAAATAAAAATCCCTTGCCTAAAGTAGTATCTCATCCATGGTTTTGTTTTCCTGTGGCTTCAGTTACCTGTGATCAACAGCAGCACAAAAATATTGCACAGACTATTCCAGAAACAAGTGATTCATACATTTTAGATAACTTTTATTACACTATGCAATTGTAATTACTGTATTTTATTGTTAGTGATTGTTGTTAATCTCCTAGTTTACCTAATTTTTATAAATTACTTTTTAAAAAGATTTATTTATTTGAGAGGCAGAGTTGCAGAGGGAGAGAGGGAGAGACAGAGAGAGGTCTTTCATCTGCTGGTTCCCCAAATGGCCACAACTGCCGGAGCTGAGCCAATCAGAAGTCAGGAGCCAGGAGCTTCCTCTGGGCCTCCCATGTGGGTGCAGGGTCCAAAGCCCATGAGCTATCCTCCACTGCTTTCCCAGGCCATAGCAGACAGCTGGACTGGAAGGGGAGCAGCTGGGACACAAACTGGCAGCATGTGGGATGCGAATGCTACAGGTGAAAGCTTAGCCTACTATGCCGCAGCGCCGCCCCTATACATTACATTTTATCATAGGGATGTATGCATGTATAGGAAAAAGCATATGTGTGTGGTTTGGGGACCGGCATTGTGGCACATTGTGGCGCAGCGGGTTAAGCCACTGCCTGCGACCAGTCCCGGCTACGCCACTTCTGATCTAGCTCCCTGCTAATGCACCTGGAAAGCAACAGCAGATGATCCTTCAAGTACTTGGGCCCCTGCACCCACATGGGAGACCAGGATGGAGTTCCAGGCTCCTGGCATGGCCCGGCTTAGCGCCAGCTGTTGTGACCATTTGGGGAATGAACCAGTGGAAGGAAGGTTCTCTCTCTCTCTCTCTCTCTCTCTCTCTCTCTGTAACTCTGCCTTTCAAATAAAGTCATTCTTTTAGAGAAGGTATACACAGGGTTTGGAACCATCTTCTAGCAGGCATCCACTGGGTGGTCTTGAGTGTAGCTCCCTTGGATCAGGGAGGCAGCTGGGCATTAAATACGTGCAGCTGTGAGCCCTGGAGGCCTCCTCTAACTCGGGTGCCCGTCCTTCACTCTTTAGCAGCCCCTGTGGTTCTCCCACCCTCACAGTTAGGATCACAAAACTCCCTTAGCGGCCCTGGCCGCCAGGCAGCTTCCAGAAGTGCTAAGCCTCCTCCAGTAGCCTGTCAGTTACAGCCAGAGGGCGTTGATTGGCTTCCTTGATCCTTAAACCTGCCCCTGACTTGTCCAATGCCCTGCACACAATTCTGCCTCTCTGGTCGCTGTCTTTGTCCAGCCTCCATGAGCCAAAACACAAGAAGGTCATCTCAGTGACTGCCTTTAGTCTCATCAGGAGGCTGTTCCCTTGGCAACCAAGTTAATGAGTCACCAATTCCTCTCTCTTAGTTTAGGGAACACTGAAGCCCCAGTGTAAGTTAAAGTTACCTTGCAAACAGCAGTAGACAGGACAGGTGTTCACCAGTGGATGACCTTGGGTTGGGGTCACCAAACCCCAACCGAGGAATAACTGTGCCCCCGCGAGTTAGGTTTCTGGAGCTGTGGTCCCTGTGGCTCGGAGAGCGATGATCCCTAGGATGCCTTACCTCTGAGGTTCCCGGTGGCTGTGCCTGATTCATGCCTCATGGGGTCATGGGGAGCAGCCATGCCTGTAGCAGCCTTAAGGAACCACCCTGGGTGGTTACCAAATGCTTCTGAATGGCAGCCTCATTCCCTCTTTGCTTCCACCTGCTAGAAACCCAAGGGATCCGGCTTGATACTGCCCCTCTCTTGCTTGTAACCACTGTTTCCTCGGGGTTCTGCCTGGAGATTCTGGGGTCACTGCCCTCCTGGGCCTGGCCCGCCACCACCTCCAGGCTATAAACGTCTTCCAAAGCAGGATTGAGCCTCCCACCCTTGTCACTGGAGTGAGACCTGGGGATAAAGGACTGAGGACTGTCCCTTAGCAAAGTGAGGCTCTCGCAGCCTTGTAGCTAATCTCTCAGAGGTCCTCTTTTTCACTAGTAACATATTTTTACCATAGGAAATACATTTTTAGTGACTTTCTGAATTAAGGATGTTTGTAAAGTGCTTTTTATGGAGATTAACGGAAGCATTTACACTAGAATTGGTGGGTGAAGTGGATGCTCAGGACTTCACTAATGTTAAGGAGCCAGGCCTCTCCCGCAAACATTTTAACAAATGTAGTTTCAAGGAGTGCATTTGTCTCAAGATTAAAAATCTATTTTCTTAGAAAAATAAAAATCAAATCTCAATATTACCAGAAAGCTACTTGGCCTTATTTGTTTTTGTTTCATGTATCTATTTAAAAGACAGGGAGGGAAGCAGGGAGGGAGAGAGAGCAAACGCGAGACCTGCCAATTGATTCACTCCCCAAATGCCCACAAAGGCCAGGGTAGGGCCAGACAGTTCCTGGCAGGAATGCGATCCAGATCTTCCGGGTGGGTGTCAGGAGCCTAATCACGGGAGCCATCTTTGCTGCCTCTCGGGGTCTGCATTAGCAGGAAGCTGGAGTGAGGAGCTGGAGCCAGGACTCGAACCCAGTACTCCGGTGTGGGATGCACGTGACTGAACTACTAGGCTTAGCTCCCACTCCTGTGTGGCTTTCTTACCAGAATAACCTAGGCAGAACTCAACATCAGGATGATGAGAAATGCATTCATTTTTAGCTTGCATTGGTGAAAACAGACAAGTCAATACTTCCTGATGTCTTCCTATTTTGACAAGGTGAACAGCTAAGTTAGGACTTGTGCTTTCCGAGTGCCTTGTCAGCCTTCTTCCTCCGTTTTGTACGGATTCCTCACTAACTGCTAACTGAAGCTTGTGGCTCTATTGCCAACACCTCTTCTAGCCAAGGCTAAATTGAAGATGGGGCCTAAGCTTTCCTATTTGCATCGGACTTTGTCCTGGGCTTGGCTGCAGCCCGGTCCCAGCTCTGCCCCTCCCGTCATGCCCCCTCTCCTCTTACAGAGATCCTGCTGGAGGCCTTCCCAGGGGGCCTGCCCAACACCTTGACTGTGTCTCCTTGTGAGAATTCCTTTCCTTCCCAGCATTGCTTGGGAAATTCTTCTTGTTCCCAATCC